AAAATAAAACGATATATATAATATATATATCCAACATGAGTGAATTATAATGAAGTTAAACTTCGGTTTGATCTAAACTATGAGTAACTTGAAAAATAATTAATATTTATTATCAATTGTGATTTTTTTTGGTGATATATCAATTATGATGTTTAAATATAACTTTGTGTTTTATCTATCATTCACAATCTCGTTTAATATGAGTAAAGTTGGAAAAAAATTTCAGTTTGGAACATATATAACAAGTCAATTACTATAATTAATAGGATTAATACGCAAATTTATTTTGAAAATTTTCACTTAAAAGTACTGATTACTTGAAAATTTATTTGGAGGCAAATTTCCCAACCAACAAATATAAAATCATAGCAATAATGACTTTAACCATTAATATTTTTAACCATAAAAAATAATCTTGTAGAGCAAATTTGCATTAAAAAAATTTCTGGGTTCCTACTAGAACAAATTTATGTGCCTGTTTAGAATAGCTTATAAGTAGCTTTTTAATAGTGATTTACAGAATACGATGCAAGTATATGAGAGAAGTTTTGTCTCGGTTTACATAAAACATGCTTATAGAAGATTTTTTAAGCCTTTCCAAACAAGCCCATAGCCCCAAGTTAATTAAAATGACTTGAATCATTGACTGTTATCTTAATTTTTTCCAAGAGGCCAAGAGAGAACTCAATCTCGGAGATCGAAGTACTTCTCTTATCTTACTTATAGGACAGAGAGAGAAGACATTTTTTATCCTATTTATAAGAAATTAAAAGAAATTTTTTATATGGATGTACCATTTTACTTTTCATTTATTATTGTATTACTTTGTTTACATGAAGTATAATATATATTAAATAGAGATAAAACTAAAAAGTTGTTAAATTTTAAATAAGAGTTAATGAAATTTAAAATTTTGTTTCATCTGTATGAAATATATCGAAAATGAGTTATAATTAGAAAGAGAGTAGTATTAAATAATTGACACATCTATGCCTCAAATTTTTAATTAAAAAAACCTTAAATAATTTCTGAACCTGTACAGCTGTCCAGGTGAAGAAGCTTAATTGCGCTAGCGGGGTTAGGGTTTGTGAAGTTGTTTGGCGACAAAGCAAACGCAAAATGGCCAAATTCAATGAGGTGCAGAAGAAAAGGAGAGCCCTACTATCGGAGAAGAAGAGACAGCTACATGGCGATCCTAACACCGGCAAGCTTAAGAACAAGCACCAACCTCTTTCGATCTCCGGCAAACGACAGCGGAAGCTCCTCAAAAAATGGCGTCGAGTACTTACTTTTCCTCCTTTTCTCTGTTTTTTTTTTGTTAGCTGCCTCATAAAACTGAAATCGTCTTTACTTCTGCGTAATCATCCTGTATTTGAAGTTTCAGAAGCTAATTCTTCTTACGTTTGAATTGATTGAAGGATCAAAAGGAAGCTCTGGAGAAGGGCTTGGTAACCATGGAAGATGTAGAGATGGCAGTTGCTGAAGCTGAAGGTAACACACATCGGTGTTATGTTTCTGCTTTGTTTTAAGGATTATGTTTTGAAATCACGGAATCCATATTTACTACATATGTCGGTGGACAGATTATGTACCTTTCAAGAATTGCCATCATTTGATGAATTCGCGAAGGACAATTATTAAACACAATGTTTGAAATGTTCTTAAGTTCATTTTGTCGATTAAATGGTATTACTATATTAGCTTGTAAAGTTGTTAGCCTTGGGTTATCTTGCTGGAACTACTAAAGCCTAAAGGGGATAGCTATGATGTCCTGTTTTAGAAATCGTACCCATTGTCTTGCCTATCAGTGCTTTCAAATGTCCCATTTCTACCATTGCACTCTGCATCCATCTTCTGTTTCTTCAGAATCAGCTTTCTCATTTCCAACTTCCGTTCTTTGCTCCGGAGTTTGTGGCTTTTGAATTTCGATATTCAAAACCAAGTCCTCTTAAATATTTTTGTCTCCCATTGCTTCCAACCTACCACTCCTTACTATTGTGGATGTCATTTTAAGTTGAGGAACATAGAGGTGTTGGAATAAAATTCAAAATAATAATAAATTTTTAAGAGTTCTGGTTAATGAAGCTCTCTTAATGAATGAGGATTTGAGCCAGATCTATTGAAGAGTTCGTGCATGATGATTTTTCAATAATGGTCTTTAGCTCAAAGCTCTCGCCACAGTGGATAATGCACCTCGAGATATTATACTTTGATTTTAACAAGTGTCATTATGGCATTCTATTGTCAATGTGACTTTAGCGAGGTTAGCATTTTCTGGGATCAAGCATTAACGTTTGCTGTGTCATTGAGTTGTTACAATTTTCTTTCATGTGAGAGAAATTCCAAGCTTGAAACAGACTCCGTATGGTTCCCATCATAGGTGTGGCTCCTTTCTAATGGGGGAAAACATGGATGCCTTCCATGGTTTTATTTTGCATGTTGAGCTTATAGCAGAAAACATACTTGTTGGTTTTCTTTAAGCTTATGTTCAATTTTGCTTTCAGGGAGTTCCCACAATAGTAGCAAATCATCCATGAAGATTCACTTGAAGAAGGGCTTGAAACTAAAACAGCTGAAGCAAAAAGGTAAGCTTTTTAGTCGTGTATGTTACTGTTTCGTCTCCAGCTAGCTAGATGTATCCTAAGTTGAGAGAAAGAAGAGCCTATAACATTGGGCCTAAAATATCTTTGTTGTCTCTCATGTACAGTTGGAATAAACTAGATTCACCTTGGCGGGTAAAGAATTACGGGAGCATAATTTTGTTCATTTAAAATCAAGAAGAAAAAGAAGAGGGAGAGATGAAATGGAACTATATAGTAGTAGAATATTGTCCAGGAGCATGCAATGAGATATTTCATATCTTCTGCTTTTCCGATGTTTGACTGATGTTTGTCGTGCCTTACAGGTAAGAATAAAAGAAAACCTGCTGCGCCAGCAGCTGGTGTTTCAGCTGACGCTGATGTTGCAGTTGACGCCATGGTGGAATAAATATGAAATGTTTGGTATGATACGGAGGTTTATTTGATCATCGTGGCTAAGAAATTTTGTCAGATTTTTTCCCTTTTCGTTTTCCTCTTACTTGCGGCTAGGATGGAGGTGGAGCCGGGGTGTGACTGAAGCTAACCAGGAATAGAATATTGTAGTGCTATATAAATCCAGTCAACTAGATTGACAGTTTCTCAGGACTTGGGAATGAAAATTATGGCTCTAAAATTTACAAGGTTAGTCTATAGGATTGCCATACGTTATTGACCATTGTGATGTCCAGTCGAAAACTGATGCTGCTTTGAAATTGTTAATTTGCCCACTTCGTTTCCCGTAAGAAAGGATGATAGAGGCTGTTGGGGTGTGACTGAAACTCACCATAATTAAAATGTGCTGCTATATTCTAATAGCTAGATTGACTGTCACGATCTTTTCATTTTCACCAATTTATATGGGTCTGGCTGTTATTTGTTAAACTTGCGAGGGACAAGGTATCTTTGTATGATATATAGCGTACTCATTGGAAGAGTATATCCACGTGGGGCGGATGTTTGAAGGTTAGATCAGGATCATTTTTATTTTTAAAAACTTTTTTTAGTCTAAATTAACAATTTTTTTCGGCAGTCACGTTATATTTTGGAGGAAAAATGATACTATGAAATTGAATTCTCTTGTTTTCATTTATTAAGCACTGGAGCGAACCATTTACGTCGAACTCAGGATGACATTACTCAGTCTGCAACCGTTAGCATGAGTTTTGAGCTCACACCATCTCCGTGAATTGGCCGGACCTGTTCGTAAAAGCTGAGAGTTTCGCTCGCAGTATTTTCAATCAAACCTAAACTCATAAAGCCAAGTTTGCAGATTAAGGAATAATCAAATAAAATAAAAAATATGGTTGCCGACAAAAATAAATTATATGAAATGGTAATGTAATAGTTTACTTCAAGTCATGTTACATGTAGTAAATGTTAGGCACTAGAGAAAAACCAAGAGTACAAGGTTGGAATAGTAAAAACAAGAATATAAAGATAAATGTGTAACTATATAAGAAAATATAAGATTTAAAACGATAATATCAAAGCAAGAGTGTAAGTGTGGTGCCAATCAAAAAGAAAATAATTGAATATTATTTGAGGAGGTTTGGGCATATACATAAAAAACTATTGGAGGTGTCGGCAAAGAAAGTAGACCAGCCAGTGTAAAATCTTAACAAGGGCATAAAAAGATCAAGAAAAACACTAAATAAAATCATTAAACAGGATTTTTTTGGTTAACAACTCATCTTAAAATTTGGTTGTTGCTAGAAATGCCACGGATCCATGTAGCCATATAAGGCTTGCTGGTGGTTTGTTGGTTTGGCTATGTAATGATTTAGACCATATTAGCCATTCCATTCCTTCCCATCCATCCAAACACATTCTAAAATTAATAATGGTGAACAAGCCAACATGCACTCACAGACCTGGAATAATTTAGGATCTAACGACTAGGGATCACACATCAGGAAAAATACTACTTAATTTTACAATTACAAGGGACACGGGAAGAGCATAGAAAGAGAAGCAAATTGCGGAAGGCACAAAATTCCCCTAACATATTACTTCTCTTCATGAAAATAAACATTTCTACCATTGGAAGACGGGAACACAGGCAAGGCTAATCACTTGAGGAACCATCATCACGCTCCTCATGCTCAGCGACAACTTTCTCGATGAACCTTTTGCGAACACCATCAATGACAGCTTTTCTTGATTGTTCATCCCTACTCTGGCCATCGTTTAGCACAGGATCTGATTGGCACAGTACTAATGCAACACCTATTTTTCCACCAGAACATGCAAAGGATTCACCAAAACAAGTTAGTAGAATGGGGGAGCAGATTAAAAAAAGAGAATCATGAAAAATATAAAGATGGGAAGATATGTCTCAGTTAAATGCATTTTTCCAATTAGTGGATCCATATGCATACTACTAGTATGGGGGAAAAACATAACATTCAGTCAGCTGTATATGATCTTAAGGATTCTTGTATAGACAACAGACAAGGAACAGAAACAAGTTATGAAACCTGAAATCATCGAAAGATAATCTGCATTTGCAACCAATACACGTCGTATGTACATATTAGACGCAATGTGACACTTGAATATATGTTGGCGCTTTGGATTCTTTTGACGTTTCAGGATGCAAGTTTTTACAGGAAGCGATGTGGTGCGAGGAGGCATGGTTCACATACTCTCTCATTTGTACCAGGAATTTAACAACAAATAAATACTGGTACAGGAAAACTTAATCATTCTTTCATACAGTTACAGTATATAAATTATATTGATTAAAGAAAATCCAACTATAATTATGCTAAATAGACATAGATATTAGTTTAATCACACAATTTCTTAACGGCGCTGAGTACTCTTCACAATGGAAACACCTTTCAACTACTTCCAATAAGTCATCTACAGACGTCATTCCCCTTCCGTCAAACACTTCAAGGACAGCACCGGCCCATAATTCAGAAAATGAATATGAAGAAGTTTTCTCAGTTGGAAAGAAATAAAAGAAATCAACAATTAAATAGGAATGTTTCAAGCCACCTAAAACTAGCTGGTAAGGGTGGAGTGGATATGTGTAGAAATTCAAAATTCAAACACTCCTGATGCAACAAAAATAACAAAGAAAAAGAGTTTCATGACACAATTGACATATTTTTCAGAATTCAGACTAATAGAATAAAATACACACGAGCACTACTAATCAAAGCAAGAAAACAAATATCATATGCATCCTGAGTCAAATTAAATACCTTCAGGAGTACACCTCCGCCCAAAAGCATGCAAACCCACATAATTAGCTTTAACTGCTCCATTGTTGTAAACCAACAAAGTGGGAAGATTACAATCTGGGTAGTTTGGAATGCAATCAGTAGATATTATCTTGACAAATTTTGTTGCAGGGTATCTTGTAGCCAATTCTTCTAAGCATTGCATTAGAAGCCCGCATTCAGGAATTCTGCCATGAAATTGATTAAAAATAGAAGTAAAATTAATGTCAACACGAGACGCTTCATTCTAAACTTGAAAACAGCTTTTAGATGTTTTTTTAATCTAATTTTCCAACAATGCATTACAAGTAAAGATATTTTACAGCTTAACACCGGATAATTGGTTCTTCCAAAAAGTTTCTTCACGTCATATTAAATTGGAGAACCCGGTAGCAGTTGCCTAAGAACGTTATCAAGTGATACATTTGAAATGATATAAATAATTTAAATATGCCTCAAAGTATACCCTTCTTTGTAAAGATGCACAACAACCCAAACATCAGGTGGAGCCTGTGAAACCTCTCGAACAAAATCAGATCCTGAAATCGGAGTTACTGATCCAAACCTCAAAACTTTAGCTTGCTCTCTCATCTCGGCTAGCCTCTTCTTCCTATCAAACCACGAGAATCAAATGAGAACATAAAAACAAAAGCAGGACCTGATTTTCCTTTTGTCCTACATATATATTTTTCCCTCGAAGACGTAAAACGACTTCGAATCAATAGGCAGAAATTAACACGATAATAAGGCAGATATACGCAGCCTTCTGAAAATTTAGAAGTTATATCCTGAACACAACATAATCCCGAACAATTTTTTTTTTCCAGAACCCAAGAAATAATATAAATTTAAGACAGTAAATAGCCCAAACACTATCCTCTAACTGAAAGAGCGTGCTAAGTGGGTGGTAGTAGAAAAGAAAGGAGACAGAGAGCGAAAATGAAAAGCATGCATTGGATGATGAATAAAATCAACAGAGCCATAGGATTTCAAATTGTATCCATCTACGTTAGTTTTCATATTCTTAGCAGAAAAAAGTTCTCTCCGCTCATCCGAGAAAGAAAATCTGATAAACAACTGGCTAAATTTCTGGAAATCAACATATTTTATAAATCGAACATCAATAACCAACCTACCTGTACTCCTCGAGAAATCTATCATCATCGAGATCGTCTTCAAGCTCTTCGAGTTCTTGTTCCGTTTTGTCATCAATCCAGGCCTTATCTTTCGGAACCGAATCCTCATCTGGTGCAGGCGTAAACGGTGGTGGCTTGAACGCAGGTGGTTTTGGGGGTAAATTGCCAAGCTTTCTCTGGATGTCATCCCACTGCGTGGACGCTCCTTCAACATCCTTGTATACAAAGTGATGATCCGCCATGGGTAACTCCCAACAGATCTGAGTGGCACCGGAATGGAACTTTTCGCAAAGTCTAGAATGCAATGACGTTGGCTCTTCAAATATTCATACTCTGGTTCTCGGAATTAGATCATCGGGATATAGTTCTCTGAGATTTTAGAGTGTGGAATCGGGCCAAAATAAAATCTGGTGTCATGAAGATCTGGGCCGGGGCGGCTTCTCGGAATTTTTTAAATTAAAAAAAATTAGAAGGCAGATTTTTTTTTTTTTTTGGGTACAACCCTAGTATTTCTAAGTTTTTTTTAGATTACCACTGGGGGTTAGCAAAATTTTTTTTTTTTAAGATTTGATACTAATATCTATCAAATCAGGAGTGTTAAAATTGAAACTCTCCCAACAAGTATATTTAAATTTATGTTTTTATCCTTATGAGATTGAAACTACTTATCATTTCAACCAACAATTTATTAGATGATGGAAGGTAACTACTAATAGCATGATAGTACAACTAAGCGTGATCGAACCCACATTCTTCATTTATCAAAATGCTTTCAACCACTATACCACTAAAGCTAAAAGGCCATTGGCTGACTGGCCTTGGGAATGAGATTTTATTGTGTGTTTGGCTCACAAGGAATATAGTTTAAATTAAAAGACATATTACTTTCAATCTTTAATATAAGAATAAATTGAGAATTTGACTTGATCATAAATATAAGATTTCAATTTACTTTGTTTTCTAAATTTATAATTTACTTTCTAAAATATCTTTATTGATTACACATATCAAGAAAGTTTCATCCAAAGATAAATGATTAAAAAAATAATTTTAAAAAATTAACTCATATTTATAACAAATAACTAACTTAACTAATTTTTTTAATTAGTTAAATAGCTCTTATATTAAGAATGAGAGTTAGTATAATGGATAATAAAATTTATGAATGTGAATGAAACTTAAACTATAAAAATAATGAAACAGTGAAGGAGCAGCAGGAGCTGCTTAAATAAAGCGATAGAAGAGAAATAGACATACGCAGAAAACTCTTAATATTCATAACAATATGATATAATCACGTAAGTAATAAATAATTTTCCAATTAGTTGTGTAGTGAGATGAACATCCAAATACATAGGAATTATTTAAGCCATCTGAAACTGATTTTTATACATTACATTACACTTATTGATTTTTCGCTCAACTTCAATTTGTAAAAGTCAATTGAAATAAGTCACTTTTACATGTGTTAATCAAAACAATCCCTCGGTTCTTATGACTTCCTAGGAGCCCAGACACCTGCAATCCTTGGGTATGAATACGGAATGGTTATTCTCAATGCTCAAGACTAGCTTGTAACAGAAATTACAAGATTCGAGCAATAGAAAGATTCTAATAGCAGGTTCAAAACCAATCTGTCCTAAAGATGGAGAAGCTTAATCTTCATGTCTAACCACTGAAACCATCAGATGCAACAAGCCAAATCAGCGGCACCCCTGGCTTGAGGTAAAATCCACCATAGCATCAAAGACAAGTATGCCCCAAGGATTACGAGGTTGTATCTCTGAACATGATATCGTTGATTCTGCAGATATCAATATCTGAAATGGGCTCAATGGGCTTGTCGTCTCCCTCTCCAGAGCAATTAATACAAGAGGGATCTCTGCTGAATTCATCTGAGTTAAGAAATGCCAAAATTAGTCATGAAATTTTAACAAATGGATCACATGGCCAACGGAAGTGTTAACAACAGAAAAATCCAAATAAAACCCTCCATTGCCAAAAGGCCTTAAAACAGAATCCCTTTTTTCTTATGTCGGAAAACAAACAGTCAAAATTGTTGACATGCCCAAGATACTCAAAGAGTAATCCATTGAGCAGACGAGGGCAAAAGGCTTATGAGGGAGAAAGGCCTGTATCACCAAAGAAAATAACATGGAACTCACCATAGATTGTGTTCAAAGATGCAGGGGAAGGTGTTGACATGAAGTTGAGGCCAATGTAGAATCCCAGTCCTAAGACAATGGTCACCATAACATACGTTGGCACAGCCAGAGCCCAATATCTGGAAAGTAAAAGATTAAAATTCTGCATATTTTTTGTCATAAAAAACAGAATTGACAATGCTTTTTCATGTATTTCTTTACAAAGTACTCCCAGAAAAAGGAGTTGAGACCCAAGTTTTTCATAACCCAAAGCCCTACTTCATGTAACAGCTAAATGAACGTTAATTTAATGAAGCTTACCTTAATAAAACCAAAGAAAACCACTTCAAAATGTGTCTTACATGAGATTATTTACAAAGAATTTGTTAGTTTATCATTCATCCAAACTATTCCATGTAGCATAGGGAATCCTGAAGGTTACATAAGCTTCCAATCATATCATGCAGCAGGCTTTTTTAGTTTGTCATTCATCCAAATTACAACATGTAGCATAGGGAATCCTGAAAGTGACATAAGCTTCCAATCATATCATGCATCAGGCTTTCTAACCTGCTAGGATAGTATGTGATCCCAATAGAATGTAGCCAATGCTCAGGAACATACGCCCATATCAAGAAGATAACTGTTCATAAAGAAAATTGAAAAAACATTTAAAAATCATAAAATTCCAAACAAAGATCACCAGAATATTGAGTGACAAAACCATAAGTCGACGTATGACAAAAGAGTAAAAATCATCTATGCAACCCTCTTCACTGGTGCTCATCAGCCTTCGGGCACATGTTTGAACCATTTAAACAATCTTCTATCATTTTCTTCTCAACAGATGCCACACTAACCGATTCATATTGTCTTTTCTTATATGACCATACATCTATCTCAATATCCTTATCTCCACTATCTCAACTTTCTACTCTTGTTGTCCCTTCAACACTTAACATTCAGCCCAGTAAGTACGTTGCGATCACAAATAACTTCTAATGTTGTTTTTCATTTCCACCACCCATCTTGTAAATTCATATAACAATAAGTAAACGAAACTGTCATTTTAATAGAGATAAGTATAAAGGAAGTACCAAAACAAAGGATACCTTAACTTCTTAAACAGGAACAAACAGTCTCTCAATATGTCTAACAGAGAAACTCTCTCAAATGATTAGAAGATCTCATGGCCCTCAACAAAGCTAAAACAAATCATCCCATGAAGTCCAGCATTATTTCATGCCCACAGACACCAAATATCAGCATACATTGCAAATTCTAAGGAGCCTTTCCCTTTTCTCCCCCTAAACTCCCTAATGATAAGTAAACCAACTTTATTTTAAGTAGATGGTTAACTTCATGCAACACAAAGAGGTCCAGCTACTACTGCACATTTAAACTACCTCATAGTTGATCAACCGAATTTCATTTTTAGAAACATATACAGCACAGTTATCTATGCAGTTATAAATGTATTGACTTCCAAACACAGAGTAATTGACTTCTTAAAAATAAACAGCTTCTTGCAAGACAATTTCAGACAATTCGCAAATAAAATCAAGGTATATCAACCATCATTCAATGGCAATTGAAAACAGGAAAGTATTCTAAGAATGTCAGAGAATCAAAAGGAACTAAAAATAAGGATAAAAAGAAACAAGTAAAGCTATATTTTTCAAAAACATTATATCAAACATGACCTGAAGCAACAACAACTGTTATGGATCCCACAAAACCATAAACTTCTGAAGGCTTTGGTCCATGCTCGCCAGACAACCCAAACCCAGTTTTGTCATCTGAATCTTGAAAGGATACACGCTGTTTTGACAGACTCAGAATTCTTCTAGGACTATTGACAGAGCGGGGACTTTCCATCTTATAACCTTTCAATTGCTTAAGCTTCTCACATGCACAAGTGGCATCACATTTGAATCAAGAAATTATGCAAATTCAAGAGCCCTGCAATTGCTGTAAAAAATGGGTCAGTTATCATATCCATAACATCAAAGAAAGAAATTATGAAGGAAAAGAGAAAATCAGGTATAATCTTGTTTTAGGAGCAACGAGAGATTGACTGATACTGTGGTATTGTAGAAAATAGGAAGAAGGGAAGGAGGGAGGAAGGAATCAGAGGAACATAGAGAGAAGGAGAAGACTAGAGAGCTAGGAAACTGAATAATCTGCCTGAGTATTCATTAGATGATCAACTGACTTATGTACAAAAGTTAGGATGCTATTTATCTACATCCTATCAGTTATCTAACTAAAGACTGTCTAAACTACCCTTCGGCCTTATTGAATTAGTGAGCCATTATTAACCCACATGGCTTATAGGCTTAGTAACCAGCCCTACACCCAAATCATTTATTCTTTCTATGATTACATAACAACTGATCATAAAATCCTTTACTTTGGATTAGATCAAACTAAGGAGGGGAAAAAAAAAACCCTTGCATAAAACCCCTTGCATCTTCTGTGAATTTCACAAGGGTGATTCGATTCAAACGTGTTAAGAAAACACATACTAATCCTGTATTATATTTGAAAAGTTGCTTGGATTCATAGAGTTAGATTGAATTTTACAAAATTTTAACATCAGCCATTCTGACCTTTTTATTTCCAACCTGTTGGTTATTATATGGCCGACAAAATTAATTTAGGCATTTCAAAATGACCATGTACATTTTACTACTGTGCTTGATTGGCTTCCAACCAAAACTGAATTTGCAGCAAACAGTGTGCTTGATTGGATTGCTAGCGAAATTGAATTTGCAGCTAACTGTAGTTCTCAGATAAAATAAGGAAAGAATTATGAAGGTAGAAAGAAAACTAGGAAAGCAAATGCTGAAATACCAGAGTGCTGATCCTAATAGCCTTCGGATTGGATTAAATTACTATATTGATGTCTGAAGGTTACTTGGATTCTAAAAACTGATTGAATTTAACATCACGATTGCGGCCCTATACTCTGCACCAAGCCTGAGGTAAAGTTGTAAGCATTTTTATCTTCAAATTTGTTGGCAAAGATATGGCTGACAAGATTTCTTTAGGCATTTCATTAGAATTCTGTACATTTTACTAATCTGTTCGATTGGATTCCAACCAAAATTGAATTTGCAGCTATAGTAGTTCTAGGCACGGACAAGTGATTTCAACGAGCAGTAAAGAAACAAACTAGAGTTTAGATATACCAAAGCTTCTCAAAAAGATTTTCATAGTTCACATTAATGAAGAAAACAACATAACAATCATTCCCTGAAAAACAAGTTATTTCAGTAAATTAACGAAAGAGATAGCATATCAATACAATCAAAGCACTGCCATCTATTACATTGGTAAGTTCAGAAATGAAATAGAGAACTGCAGACAAAATTGAGGTTCTGATAAGCCTGGAGCAACAGTATTCCTTTTATAACCAAAACTTGGCAAATGAACTTGAGTCATATAACGGAAATATAGCTATCGGCCAATCAAACATAATCTTTATAAGATCACGCGACGATGAAAAAACTTTCTTAAGATCACTTGGACAAGCCTAGTGTGAATACGACAGGAAATCGAATATGTGGAGCTAGGAATTGATGAATTAAGTAAGCTGACAGAGATGTACACAGCTAAGATTACCTTCTCAAGCGTCCAGAAATTCCCGAATCATGAGTAGTTGATTGAGAAATCAGAATTACGATCCGGAAAAACCAAGCACCGTAGAAAAGAAGCAATCGACGGGATAGAAAAGTGGCGGAAAGCTTACGGTGGAAGCCGAGGCCTGAATGGCGGAAGCTTCAACTGCCTTAGTTAGCCTTGATGTGATGGATTGCCTTGGTGTTAGCAGATTTGATGGTATGAAAGATCACTCGTGCTGTGCATTTTTTCCGAGTACTCCCCTGAACCCAGGAACCGAAACATTGAGCGAGCAATGGGAAATTACTGGGGAAGAGAAAGCAAAGAAATGAAGGCGTGTCAGATAAGAGCCAGAAGTATCGATTGTGAAGTCGTGTGAGTATTTCTGTTGGAACACCCTTGGCGTTTGATAGATCGGAGATATGGCCGATGACTGTGCGCTTGCGTCCTTGGCGCTACTCTGCTTTGGGCAGAGATTTTGCGGCGGTTGATTCCGGTGGTCGGGGAGTCGTTCAATTGTGGGGGATATTTTAAGTGTGTCTGGGTGACACCTCAAACCATAGTTTGGGGAATAATCTACCCAAACACCCCCTCCAAAAACCAAAAACCATGATTTTGGAGAAAGCAAATTTTTTTGTTTTTGGAGAAAGAAGGGAGAGTGTGAGGGCCTATATGATATGTATCTTGTTATTTTTTTTATAAACACATTTTTTTATAAATATATTTAATCTTATATTTTATAAATATATATACACATTAATTATTTATTAATTATATTATCTCATGTATTAATTATGTTGGTAAAAAAATATTATTAACAATTTTATTCCTTCAAATTAAAATATATCATAAAATTTATTTTTTCTGTAATTATCATATTAACTTATATCTTTTTTTAGTAATTTGTATATATAAAAAGTGCTTCTGATAACAACTATCCAAACACTCTCACTTTTCAGAATCACTTTTTTACAAAATCTATTGTTCACAGAATCTATTTTCCCCAGAATCTATTCTCCAAAATCACTTTTTCAAACTACGGTTTGGTTTCATCCAAACACACCCTTAATGGAGAAAACTCAACTTTCATCTAGTTTTCCAATCAACAATTGCCAATTGGATTTATTAAACACATCATCATATGACAGCGTCGCTTACCCCATATCCGCTTACCAGCCCCAAGTCATTTCCAATCAACAATTCAACATACAATTTCATTACAGAGGCTTTTTTACCAAAATACGATAAACAGGAAAATTATTTACTAAAATATTATACTTTTGAAACTATTTGCCAATATACTACATTTAAAATCGTTCTTGACAAAAATGACTTTCAAATTACATACAAGTCGTTCTTGACGTGAACGATTTCACTTTTAAAATTTTTTTAAATCAAAAAGTGAAATCGTTTTTAGAAATCGTTCACGCCAAGAACGATTTCACCCTTGCATGCACGACGATGCTCCCGTGAGGCTACAACATTATAGTAAATATTATTTCATCTAACTTATATTGGATTAAAATTTGAAAACCCCAGTTTTTTTTTTTTTTTTCAAATAGAGATTGATGAAATTTTCTATCATTTCCTCTTCTTTTTATCTTTCTCATACCAAACAGTACATAATAAGAAAAGTTATGTTTTGATTGTAAATTTTTAATTGTAGCAATTAAGTTGTAAGACTAAATTATTATTATTATTATTTTGGTCACAGGTATAAAAGGCCCATGCCCAATACTTGATTTCTTGTCAAATCGAACAAATGCCACACGACAGGCTTTTTTACCAAAATACTACAAACAGTAAAATTATATATCAATATGCTGCACTTTTAAAAATATTTACTAATATATTACACTTAAAATCAGGTTTCAAGTGAATAATTTTTAAAGTCATTTATCTTGTGAACGACTTCTTCATAATCTGTCCTTGATGTGCATGAGGTGAATGAAAATCGTTCTTCTGGTGAACAACTTCAAACTTCATCTGCTGTTGAATGACTTCTCCCCTTCTCTCCTGATTAAAATGATTAGTATAATAATTTATCAATCATTTGAATGACAAAATCATGACTATATAATGAGAGAAAAATGTTATAATGATATTAAAACTAATTGTAAAATAAGTATAAGATTAAAAATAAAAAGTAATAAATAAAGTTTAAGTTTATAAAGAAAAAATTATCCACCTTACTAATAGTGACTTCCTATACCATATCTTGGCCTTCTTCTCATACGTTGTGGGCGTTGTTGGTGTATGTCAATTTCTTGAGATTCAAATGTCTCATTTGTTTGTGTAGTTGGCGTGTTCAAAACAAACCAAGGTGATTCATTTAAATGTATAGATTGTCGAGGAGTGACAAATGCTTCATTTGATGGTCTACCATGTTCAAAAGTAGAAGCATTGTATTCAACTGAAAATAATGCAGGATTATCTAATAAAGTCATGAATGGTTGAAATTGAGAAGGATTGGCTGAGTTGGAAGGGGATGATGATGAGGGTGCCATGTAATGAGACTCAAGTTGTGTAGGATCGACAGAGATGAAAGGGGGTGATGGTGACGGTGATATGTCAGAAGCCTGAGTAAAAATTGAAAGTTCATGTTCCCTTGTATTTTCATTTTCAATTATAGGTTGGGTAGACAAGTAACCACCGCGTTGATTGCTCGGTCTATCACGAGGAATTTGTGGCTAAGGCAACTCAATTATTGGTGGAACAGGCTGAGGGTTCACATTAAAATGTTGTTCTCTAAGTGCAAGTAAAATGTTACGTTGGTCGCGAGCAACTCTATCTCGATAATCAACACAACTAGGACATGTTGAATGAGAATTAATTGAAAGCCTGTATAGCTCCTCTACTATGTCAAACTGAAAAAAATAATAAGATATAAGATAATAACACTTTTTGTGTAAAAGGAAATAATATTAATGGTGAAAAAATGAAAAACTTACTGTACGACCTGTATCGCCACTAATACGTTGAATCCATCATCTTGTATGTCTCCAATACTATTGCATGTACTGAGATGTTCGATCAAGTTCATCAAATGCTATAGGAGCATTAACAATTACATGTGGCCATCTATCTCATGCTTGAATGAAGTCTGCGTATTTGTCAATCCAATTTGTAGTTGTTTTACCTCGTAATTGGATCGTGTGGTAATTTCTCAAATGAATAGGCATGGAAGGAATTGGTTGCTGACGACCAAATTGCCGTAGTACACGGTCAGGATAATGTCATTCTATAATACTAAAACACATTAAAGGAATTGAAGCACGCCAAATTTCAGGTGTTGTCAAGCAATACTCAGGAATCAATTGGCGCACATAAAGAGATTCATATGGCTGCCATATTATCTCATCATTGGTCATTTTATCCAAAAAGCTCCTATATCGGATTAAAGACGCAGCAAGTGGACGTGGGTTTTGTCTCACATTTTTCCATCTGTTATTGCAAAAAAGTAATGTTAAAAATTATATAATTTTAATAATATAAGAGTATAACAAATAGTTAGTGAATAAATTTAGCATACCTAAAACCCAAAGGAGGTAAGAAAGGGTAGATATCAGATTGTGGATCTAGATACCTAGGTTGTTGTGGTACTAGCATAGGAAAACGATCCCATGCCCATAAATGAAGTAATGATAAGCATCCTCCAATCCCATCCTTAGTTGGGTTAGTAGTATTACACAATTCTCTGTATAGTGAGCTAAAACTGCTCATCCCCAACTATATTTTCCAACTTCTTGAAGATCAAAAAGTAGTGGAAGGTACATTAGATACACCCTGCTACCCGATCTATCGGGCATGAGATATCCACCAATCAACCTGAGGATATATGCACGAGTGAATTGTTGAACTTATACATCATCCGCATTATCAGGTAGGTGATTAAAGTTCTCTTCCAACCAACTTATAAGCAGTCGCTGCCCACACAGTCTATCTGCAGATGGTCTAATACCTAGAAAACATTCACACATGTCTTGTCAATTAAAGCCAGTTCGGCTAATAACTGTCATTCCTTCACATGGAAGGCCCAATTGTTTAGCTACATCTTCTAATGTTATAGTGCATTCTCCACGTGTAGTGTGAAATGTATGAGTCTCAGGATGCTACCTTTCAACAAGTGCTGAGACCAAACCTCGATCATAATCAAACTGTCCTACTCGAGCAGCATCATAAAATCTAGCTAATATAAGATATTCAATTATTTGATTAGGTGGGTTAATCATTTGATTAGCGTGCATGACTCGTCTAGTGTGTAGGACCCTATTAACCTACAGTGGAAAAGGGAAAAAATATTATTATAGAAACATCAATGAAATAATATATAAGAAATAGATTTTACTTACATTATCATTCCACACATGTTCAGAAATATGTTGGGTTTGCAAGTACAAAAGAGAGTTATCCTCTGGGCCAGGATTTATCACCTCTTCTGGAAGTTGTGCCATTTTAAAATGTCTCTGTATAAGGTAAAGGACGAATTCCAAATAACATAAAAGAAATCAAACTAATTATAATATAATCTTCATAAAACATAATGTTTTTATTACAAAAAGTGAAATACATAATTTATTGTCGAGATGCTACACCTTGTGGACAAGTAGAACGGTTATGACCAACTTGTCGACATAATCCACACTTGTTAGGTTCATTGGGTGTGGTCCAATCATCTCATTTCGTATTCGACTTGAGCGAGGACGTCCTTTATCTCTAATCATTGATGGGTTAGGTATTAGAAGAGGACAATCAATCTGCGGCCAGTACATCTCATCTCCCACTGGTTGGAACTCATTATTATAAACCATTTGCATAGTTTCCAACCGAAAAACAGGATCCACATATTGTAAATGGTTTATGCCTACTCGTGCACAAGCAGCAATGAAATGCATACATGGAAACTTTTCTGCTTGAACTCTCCACAATCACATTTTCTGTCAATCAAATTCACCTTGCAACACCAACGAAATTGATGACATCGAACATTATATGGCTCCATAACATCAAATGATGTTGCTATTCTGTTAAAATCTCAAACTACACACGCAGATGCACTTTGCGTTGCTATATCTAACTTCTTTGTCATTGTCTCGGAAAATACCTTACCAACCATAATTTGAGCATGAACTTGTTGGGCACGTTTGACAAAATAATTATTGACTCTACACATGGTTGTCTTAACTAAACCTGTTATTGGTAGATTTCGAACACCTTTAAATACATTATTCATGCACTCTACAAGATTGGTTGTCATGTGTCCAAAATGAAGACCTTCAAGGTCATATGCACGTGACCATTTCTCTTTTGGGATGGCTCCGATCCATCTAGCTGCAGGAGTATGGTGCAATGCTATTTTTGCTAATTCTCTGTCAACAACATGACGTTCATAAGCATACCCTACATATTATTATTAGCACTTGTTAGAATGATTATAAAATCATATAGTTATAAGATCATAAAAAGCACAAGGAATCTCACCGATATTTATAAACTTCTCTTTTAACCAATTT